GACTCTGAGAAACAAACTGAGGGTTCTAGAGGGGAAGGGGGTGGGGAGAGGGCTTAGCCTAGTGATGGGTATTAAAGAGGGCACATATTGAATGGAGCACTGGTTGTTATACACAAACAATGAATCATGGAACACTACATCAAAAACTAATGATGTAATGTATGGTGATTAACATAACATAATAAAATTAAATTTAAAAAAAAACTCCATATAGATATGGGTGTAGGCATGATAAGTGTTTTGTATACCAATTCGCTGTTTTGTATACCAATGCTTCAGATAAATAGAATCATTGTTAACAGACTTCTGAACACTGAATATGTATTTTCAAAGTATTCACAAATTGGCGATCACTCACTAAATTAATATGCCCAGCTCTTTCCAGAAAGGCATTGTGGCCTTATTTTACTTATTACAAGGATACATTAAAATAAAACTAATAAAATAGAATTAAAAATGGAAAACCAGAACCGAAGAGGTTAGTAACAAGGACACTAATCCACAAAAGCTCTTCTGCTTGTTTGTTTTTTGGTTTGCATGCATTGTGTGTGTCTGCTTGTATACATGTGTTTGTATATGTGTATATATGCGCACATGCCTCTGTGTGTTTATGTTTGCATGTGTGTATGTGTCTGCTTGTGTATGTGCGTGCGTCAATCTGCAGAATTGCCTTGGAAGTTACACATAGCTGATCTAGCACTGGGGATAAGACCTGTCCTGTGGGTTGCCATGAGGAGTGCCCAGACTAACATGTTATAAGGAAGTTAGCATAGTGCCCCCAGTATGTAGTAAGAATCCAAACACGGCTAGTTCTATAAGCAACCTCCTTTCCTCTGGCTGGTTATTTCCCCTGGAGGGGGCCTCCTTCACAGCAACAAGCCTGCTTCCTGTCCACCCCTCACTCCTGTCCCAGCACAAGAGCTCTCTAATCTAAGGGATTAGCTCGGAGGGAGGGATATGCCTGGGTGCTCAGTCCAATCATTTCTTTATATATATATATAATTTTATTTATTTATTTGAGAGAGAGACATAGAGAGTGAGAGAGAGCATGAGCAGGGTGAGGGGCAGAGGGAGAAGCAGACTCCCCGCTGAGCAGGGAGCCCCATGTGGGGCTCCATCCCGGAACTCCGGGATCATGACCAGAGGCAAAGGCAGATGCTTAACCAACTGAGCCACTCATTTCTTTCTTGCTTCTTGCTCTGCCCAGCTACAGGAAGGACATATGCTCTCCACACAGTAGGAGTAGAGGCAGGCCCAGGGAGGGGGAGACCGGCGGAGGCCCTGCTCTGCCAGTGAGGACTGGGAGAGCCTGCCTGACTGTGGCTGACATATTGGCAAGTTCATTTGGCTCTTATACCCTAGCCATGTTCCCAATATCAATTTTATCAGTGACATAGGTGATATATTGATTTATAATGCCCTGACTTATGGGTCCAAGGCCATTAGCTTTTGTGCAAATTTTAAAAAGCACCCTTACCACCTCCACCACCATGGGTGAACACAGCCCAATAGACATTTGGCTTCACAAGAGGATGGCACCTCTGTGGGAAGAAAGAGATGCCACTTTGCCCAAGACAGGGTTCCCAGCTTGATGCAGGGTGTGAGCACTGCTCCCAGGACCAGGTACAGTGCCCATACCACACAGTTGTGCATAGCAGTCCTTTTGGAATCAAGGGTATAATTTACTGAGCTCTTCAAAACCCTAATAGTGCTGATTTCCCTTAATAATCTTATTAGAAAGAAGGTGGATGTCACAGGCCCAAATAGCCCCATGGCTGTGATAAATGGACAGCACAAAAAACATCAAACCCCACAAGTCAGGCCTTTGCTACTAAGCATAAATTCTTAAAATAACAAAGCATTATTTTCAGTAAATTCTAATTGCTAATATTATCAAAATGCATAACAGACCACACACATTTGCAGGTTCCAAGAGAGGGCTGGAGGTGCTAGGTGTGTCCTGCTGAGTCCCAACACCATCAGCCAGGGGGCCAGGCATCCGTGACTCACCTCCACAGGTCTCCTGTATTCGCACCACATCACCAATCTGCAGGGAGAGCTGGGGGGCTCCATTCCCCTGGAAGTTGTATATGGCTGTGAAACAAGAGAGGGGCAGCATGGTGAGACATCTGGATACTGAGAATCACTGCTCCTCCTTGCTGTCCCTGAGTTTACCTGACACCCATGCAGCCTACATGGGTTAATAAGACCAATGCAGAAACCCACTGCCTACCACAGGAGTCAATGAAAGGCTAGCCTGGCTGCTAAAGGCCCCTACTTATTAACCAAACCTGACCCCTCCCAGCACAGGTCTTGCACTCTAGTCTGCATGACAAGGAGGTTATTGATATCATCTATCATAGGGTGACCTCTCCCAGTGCACCAGGCATGTGCTCTGCACATCTCATTCCATTCTAACAGCAACCCTGTGAGGTATAAACTGTGATCCCATTTTACAGATGGAAAACCAAGGTGCTAAGTCTTGGTCAAAGTCTTCAGGCCAGGAAGTGACAGGAAAATCAGTATCTAATTTCCACATTCTCAACCACTATGATGAGCTACTTGCTGCTCCCCAGTTACTCCTTCCTGGTGACAACAGCCTAACATTCAAGGGTGTGCCCTGTCTTCCCATTTCTATTATCAGTCCCCGAGGAACAGTAGTTGGCTATGAACATTCAGAGTCCCTCCTTGTGCTGTCAGAACCTCTGCTAACCCCTTAGAACACATGATCATGACATATCGTTGCAGGGCACAGGCCCTGTTCAGCATCACTCACTAAGTGGGGACCAGGTCACATTGTTCATCCAGATTAGGGATGCAGCCTACTTTCCAAAGGCTAGAATGGAACCACCAGCTTGGGAGGTTTTCAAGAACAGAATAGGGTACAATGCATGTGGTTTTATTTAAGGAAAGACTCTCAGGAGTTTTATTTAAGGAAAGACTCTTAAGGAAGAGGACAGTATGATCCTACAATGTTGTCATCATTCATTCATGCAGCAGACATTCAGTAAATGGGTATGATGTGCCAGGCACATGCAAGGCACTGATCTTGCTCTTTTGGTGGACACAGAAATAAATATAAGTGTACAAAATATGAGACATGTGAAAGAGAAAACAATAGGGCCTGGTAGAGAGTTATGACACATCAACTTTTGTTGGGGTACTTAGGGAAGGCCTACCTGAGCTGATACATGAAGTATTTGAGCAGGTCAGCTATGGAGACAACAGGGAGGGGCATTTCAGGAAGAAGGAACAGTAGGTACAAAGGCCCTAAGGAAGAAAGACACTTGGCATATGCAGAGACCATCAAAAGAAACTGCTATGGATGGAGTATGATAAAAGATGAGAAGGTGACGCAAGATGAGGCTGAAGAGGTAGGGACCAAGTCAAACACAGCCATGTGATGGATTCGGGCTTTATTCCAAGAGAATGGGAAGCTGGAAGGATTTTATTTATTTATTTATTTGGGAATAGCTTTACTGAGATATAATTTGCCAATTTATTAATTATTGTGTATAATTCAATGATTTATTCACAGAATTGTGAAGACATCACCATGATTAATTTTAGAACAATCTCATCACCTCACAAAGCTCCCCCAGCCCCAAGTGGCCACTAATCTACTTTCTTTCTCTACAGATATGCTTATTCCAGGCATTGCATATACATAGCATCATATAATATGTGGTCTTTTGTGACTGGCTTCTTTCACTTAGCACAATGTTCTCAAAATACATCCATGTGGTAGTAACTGTAGCAACTCAATTCACTCCCTCTCCCATTGGTCCTCAGTTTCCTTATATGTCAACAAAACAAAATGCATTCAAAAAGTCTTCTTTGGGTGACTTCAGCAAAAATGGCAGAGAAAGGAACTCCAAGGGCCTGTCCTTCTAAAGAAGCAATGAAAAATCTGGCAAAAGCTCTCAGAATCAACTTTATCAGATCTCTGGAAAACAGTCAATAGTTTATAGCAATCAAGCAAATGCTTAATCAAGAAAAAGGCAATTGAAGCCTGGTAAAGCTTTGTGGCATTTTAACTTATTCCTGTCCCACTCTCTACTCCCCATTTCAGTGGCAGTTTTGAAAATGATATTCCACGTCCTTTGTGTGGGTTTCTAGAGCCAGAGGGAGCAGAGAGGACCTTGTTCCAAGAAACTGTAGTTGTCTGTTTTTTGATCTGTCTGTGGGCTCCCTAAAGGACTAGAGCTATGAGCTTGTCCTTTATTATTATTTATTATTTACGCTTTGGAGGACCAAGAGGAGAGGAAATTAATTGAGTCAATGGTGAGACTACCAGGAAGACTCAGGATTCCTCTTATTTAGTTCAATCTACCTTCTGCCCTGTTTGGTCACATGATTCATCAGCAGTAAGCCTCTATTTGGTCTGGAGACCACTGGGATTAGAGACACAGAGCAATAGCCTTTTCATGGGCCTTTCCACATGTGCTCTACCTCCTTCCATCCAATCTCCACACAGCAGCGAGAGCAATAGTCAGTGAAATGGGATTATATCACTCCTCTGCTTAATTAACACCCTTCAGCCTTTCATCTGCTAGCATACATATAAACAAAAGATGGTCTATCCATACAATGGAATATTCTTCAGCCACAAAAAGGAACAAAGTACTGATAGTTGCTACAACATGGATAGATCTTGACTATACAATACCCACGTATACCAGGGGATCTAGAAGGCTATGCATGGATCTGGACACATGCTAAGAAAGGATGGGAGGAAGTCCTAAACTCTCAACTCTGATTGACCTTCAAGCTCCATGATGGCAGGAAATGCAGGTTAAGGCAGAGTTGCAAGTGGTCTGGCTACATGTTAAAGGTATGCCCCTATCCATACATAGAGTCCAGCTACAAACACCAGATTTTTTTCTTTAAACTCCAGGCATTTGGAGATTTAAGTGACCAGGCTTCACAAAAATACTTTAGAAAAGTCACTAGACAGACAAACTACTACAGCCTATACTAAGCAGCTACAACCAGTCCTGGCAAAGAGGAGAATTTGATATCTGAGTTAGCACATTATAATATTCAAGATATCCAGTTTTCAACACAAAATTATGAGGCATAAAAACAAACAAACAAACAAACAAGAAAGGATGGCCCATTTATAAGAGAACAAAAAGAAAATAATAGAAATTCCCCACAGAAGGATAGACATTGGATTTGAGACAAAGATTTTAAATTGATTGTCTTAAATATGCTGAACTAGCTAAAGGAAACTATGGGCAAAGAACTAAGTAAAACCAAAAGATTAATATCTCATAATACAGAGAATATTATTAAATAGATAGAAATGACAAACTAATAAAACAGAAATTCTGTAGGTAAAAAGTACAATAACAAATGTGAAAAATTTATTAGAGAGACTCAATAGCAGACTTGAGCAGTCAGAAGAAAGAATCAATAACCTTGAAAGTAGGTCAGTTGAGATCAGCCAGACTGCAAAACAAAAAGAAAAACGAATAAAGAAAAATGAACAAGACCTAAGTGACCTGTGGGACTATCAAGTGCACCAACTTCACGTAAGGGGAGTTCCATAATTAGAGGAAAGAGAGATAAAGGAACAGAAAGAATATTTGAAAAAATAATGGCCAGAAACTTCCATCTGATGGAAGACATGAATTTACAAACCCAAAAAGCTCAGTGAGATCTGAGCAAAATAAACACAAAGATATCCACATTGAGACATAATTATCAAACTGTCAAAAACCAAAGACAAAGAAAGAAACTTAAAAACAGCAAGAGAGAAGCAACTCATCGTGTACAAAGACTCCTCAATAAAATTAATAAATGATTTCTCTTCAGAAACCAGAGAGGCTAGAAGGCAGTGGGATGACATATTTAAGTGCTAAAAGGAAAAAACAAAAACCTCAACCAAGCATTCTCTCTCTCACAAAATTATCCTTCAAAAATGAATAAGTTAAGAGATAAACAGAAAGGGAGGCCCATTGCTAATAGACAATTAGAAAGACAAATGCATAAAACAATAATTATAAATCTACAATAACAGATACATCATGTATAAAAATGTAATGTGTGACAATAACAACAAACGGGGAGAGATAGATTTGTACAGAAGCAGATATTTTGTATACTATTGAAGCTTAGTATTAACTCAAAATATATTGTTATTATTGTAAGATGTTAATTGTGAACCCCAGATTAATTCCTAAGAAAATAACAATAACAACAACAAAAAAATACAGAGAAAAGTAAATGAGAAAGGAATCAAATCAGCAAACTAGAAAAAAATCAATTAAACATTAAAGGTAGTAATGAAGAATTGAGGAACAGAAAAACATGTAAGATATATAGAAAACAAATAGCAAAATATTAGAAGTAAATCCTTCTTTATGGGTGTTTACATCAAATGTAAATGAATTAAACCCTTCTGACAAAAGGCAGAGATTGACAGAAAGGATTATAAAACACCACCACCACCAAAACCAAAAAACCCACTATGATCCAACCATATGTTATCTACAAAAGACTCACTTTAGATCCAAAGACACAAGTTCAAAGTGAAAGAAAAAATGTTCCATGCACATGGTAACAAAAAGAGCACTATAGTGGATATACTAATATTAGACAAAACAGACGTTAAGTCAAAAGGGTTACAAGAGACAAAAAAGAGCATTATATATTGGCAAAAGGGTCAATACACCAAGAACATATAACAATTATGAACATATATCCCTAATAACACAGCACCAAAATGTATGAAGCAAACATTGACACAATTAAAAGGAGAACTAGGCACTTCTATAATAATAATCAGAGACTTCAATATCCCACTATCAATAATGGATAGAACAAGTAGAAATAAAATCAGTAAGAAAATAGAGGACCTGAACCACACTATAAGTAACCAGACCTAACAGACATACACAAGATACTCCATCCTACAGCAGTGGAATGCACATTCTTCTCAAGGGCATATAAAACATTCTCTAGAATAGCCCATATGTTAGGCCACAAAACATATCTCAATACATGAAAAATACTGAAATCATACAAAATAACTTTTCCAACCACAAAGGAACAAAGCTAGAAATGAATAACAGAAATAAAACTGGAAA